GTGTGGCAAATAAGTCCACGAGGGAAACGCGGAGTCACTGTTCTTCCTACACCTCCCCCGTCGGCGAAGGACATCGCTACTCGCAGTGCAGCGAGCATCGACTTTGAGGGTAAACTCTTATGAGTACAATTTCTGAACTAGAGAGGGTGTGCAACTAATTGCACACAAACTACCCAGATTTCACCAAATTCCCCTCTTCTCTTTTTATTGTTATTATTATGATTATTGTGTGCTGGTACCAGGGCCTGGGCACTATCCCTGAGCTTTTGTGCTCAAAGCTGGCATTCTACCACTGTAATCACACCTCCATTTCTGGCTTTTTGCTGAGTACTGGGAGGTAAGACTTTCCTCTCCCTGCTGGCTTTGAACCAGCATCCTCCTATCTCAGCCTCCTGAATAGCTGGGATTGCAGTCAGGAACCACTGAGGCTGGGCTTCCCTATTCATTTTAAATACATCCCCAACAATTGTGAATATGAAACTTCTCCAACAAATGACACTTCCTGCGAGAGCGCACACACGATCAGGACTCTTAGCACAAAGGTATATGGAAAACAGTGCGTTTCTTCTAGATTGTAGACTGAATGGGGATCACCTCTCAAATTAATATGTTGAAGCCCTAATACGAATATCTCAGAATATAATTAGAGTTGGACACAGAGCCTTTAAAACAGGTGATTAACATAAAAGGAGGCCACAGTCTGTTGCCCTTATCAGAAGAGGCGGTGGGGAGAGACAGACTCAGAGGGACGGCCGCGTGAGGGCCCCAGGGGAAACGGCATTCTGCAAGCTAGGAGAGTCTTCAGGAAGCTCCAGAGCCCACACAGCGAAGGTTCCAGCAGGGAGGGAAAATACGTGTGTGAGCTGTGGGGCTCTGTCATGGAAGCCCAAGGGAATTCGAACACCCAGTGCTCAAGGGACCCCAAGTCAGTGGGAGAGACATTTGCAAGGAACTGTCGGTGCCTGCTCTTAGTGCAGTTCTGAACGCGGGGACTGCTGGGAACGCCTAGAGAACAGGAAGGCCACGCTGCTGAAGGCAGCACAGGCCGGAGGGGAGCAAAAGCCAATGGATCTGCTCCCTTGGGGTCTGGTGACTTGTGCCTCAGCACCCCCAATCTTTTCTACACAACCCAGCATTCTCTCTTGTGACTTCTAATACATGTTTTTCTTTTGGTGCCTGTACTGGGGACTGAACTCAGGGCCTTGCCTTTGCTAGGCAGATGCTTTGCCACCTGAGCCATGTCTCCGGCCCATTTTGCTTTCATTGTTTTTCAAATACATTCTTCCATGTAAACCTCAAGCTGACACTCAGGTTTGTACTTCCCAAGCACCTGGGGTGACAATGAGCACTACCACATGCAGCTATTCGCTGAAGTACGGTCTTGTCAACTTTTTGCCTAGGCTGGCTTTGAATCACCACATCTCTCCGTGTGTGTGTGTGTGTGTGTGTGTGTGTGTGTGTGTGTGTGTGTGCGCGCGCGCGCGCATGCCAGTCCTGGGACTTGAACTCAGGGTCTGGGCACAGTCCTTGAGTTTTTTTGTGTTTTTTTTTCACCTCAAGGCTAGTGCTACCACTTGAGCCACAGCTCCACTTCTGGCTTTCTTGGCAGTTAATTGGAGAGCCGAGTCTCGCAGACTTTCCCGCCTGGGCTGACTTCAAATCACCATTCTCAGATCTCAGCCTCTTGAGTAGCAAGGATAACAGATGTGAATCACCAGTGCCCAGAGTTGTTTTTATGTTTTTGCTTTTTGTGTTTTTGTTTTTTTCCATTCTTAGGATAGGGTTTCATTATATAGTGTAAGCTGGCCTCAAAGTGAAGATCTTCCTACCTCGACCTTCTTAGGGCTAGATTTACAAGCATGCGCTACTACATCCATGTAGTTTTTTTTTTTAAATTGAGGTCCTACAATATCTTGAATTACAAACACATCAAAAAAGTTATCTCCATTTGACTTGGATGAACAACCATCAAAAATAATTTCTAGCCGGGCGTCAGTGGCTCACGCCTGTAATCCTAGCTACTCAGGAGGCTGAGATCTGAGGATCACAGTTCAAAGCCAGTCCAGGCAGCAAAGTCCGTGAGACTCTTATCTCCAATAAACCACTAGAAAACCGGAAGAGGCTCTGTGGCTCAAGCGGTAGAGCGCTCGCCTTGAGCTGAAGAGTGCAGGGACAGCACCCAGGCCCAGAGTTCAAGCCCCATGGCCCACCAAAAAGAAAACAAAAAAAAAATAATTTCTATGTCAACATTTTTCTGTTACCCCAACAGAAGTAAACAAAAAGTACTTTTTAATGACCATGCATCTGTAGTCAGATCAGTAATTCATTCATTATACAAACATTTTTCAGTTACTTTAAACTTGTGTAAAATATTGAATTTATTTTTGGCAGTACTGAAGTTCAAACTCAGCCTCATGCTTACTGGGTGGGCACTCTACTGCTAAGCCATGCCTCCAGCTCTGGTTTTCCTCTGGCTAATTTTTAGAGAGGGTCCTGAGTGCACACCTGGACCCTGATCCACCTAATTCAGGCTTCCCATCTTTGCTGGCATGCACCACCATGTTCAGTTTCCCTCCATTGAGGTGGAGAATCAGACTTTTCTGCCCAGGTCACCTGGAACCCTGATCCTCCCACTCGCAGTCTACCACGCAGTGTAGACAGGCATTGGCACTGTGTCTCGCTATGGAGTGAGAAGTGGATCTCATGGAAATTTGCTCCGTGGGCTGGCCTTGAATCACAGTCCTCCTATTCTTGGCCCTCAAGTAGCTAAGGATTCCATGCATGAGCCACTAGTGCTCATTAGACTTTTTTTAAAAAGTGTATTACAGATTTTTGGCTATGGTGGATAAAGGACTGAACTTGCATTTTGATTATTCTTTTAATTTTTCAGACATGTTCTTTCTTGCTGACCCTTTGGAAAATTAAATGATCTCTGGGAAGAGTTGAAAATGACTTTTTAGCATTCATATTTTGGAATCCATTGGGCCTTGTCACTCTCAGAAACATACACATGATAATTCTGAAAATTGCTGGGTTTGTAGCTCAAAAGCAGAACACGTCTGGAACTAATTTCTTCAGAGTGGTTATACAGTCTGCTAGAAGACACAGCCCCCTAAATAGTGCACACAGCCCCTCCCCTCTCCCTCTTGACCCTTTCAGTGGCTGCCACTTCTGTGTACATGGGACATGCACCTTACAGGTGTTCATGAGATGTTCTCAAAGCACAGCAGAGGATCTGCCCTGCGTCATGCATGCCAGTCGTATGGGACGGGAGGTAGGAGCAGAGCAAGACTCCATGTGTGCAGAGCCTGCAGTGCGATGCATAGCTGCTCGGAGACTGCCATGCTGCCTGGAAGCTGGCTTTGCAAAACAGACCACAGCTGGCACTCAGCACGTGACTGGCTCAGACTCCACAGTCATAAAGCTCTAATTGTGTTCCTCAGACACTGCAGAATTCTGTAGGTGGATTATGCCCCAGCCTTTCTTCATCATGGGTGCATCGTTTTAGTCATGCAGGCTGCAAAGTGATTGTGAGGACTTCCAACGTCCCCCCACCGCCTGAATACTAGACCTGTCACCCAAGCCACATAAATAAACACGTGATCATGTCACATAAAGCTCACAGTGTTCAGCTGAAAGGCAACTGAAGTAAAATCCTGTACATAAGGCTCTTAAAAGTAAACATCTAGCATAACACCGGCGGCTCACACCTTTAATCCTGGCTACCTGGGAGACTGAGATCTGAGGATAGCAGTTTGAAGACAGCCTAGGCAGGAAAGTCTGTGAGACTCTATCTCCAGTTAACCACCAAAAAAGCCAGACTGGAAGTGTGGCGCAAGTAGTAGAGCACCAGCCTGGAGCAGAAAAAGCAAAGGGACAGTGCCAAGGTCCTGAGTTCAAGCTCCAGTACCAGTGCACTCGCACGTGCGCGCGCGCACACGCACGCACACACACACACACACACACACACACACGTAAACATCTAGATCAATTATTTCTGATTGAAAACTTGAGTAATGATTGGGGTCCACTTAATTTGCATATTATAGCAATTATACAAGCTTTTCCAAGCAACAGAAAAATCCAAAGTCAGTACTGCTGTGCCCACTGAATCCCATCTGTCCATCAGTCTGTGTAAAGAAAGGTCTGCAGCTGCGGAGACAGACGTACGCTCTCTTTCTCATGGCCCCTCTCTCAGCAGGAGGACAAGCTCACACATGAATTTATTCACATCGCATCCTCTCCACAACAGAGCCGAGACACGTGCAACATGTCAGAATCCAGACAGTCACCTTTGTAACGCTGATGCCAACACAGACCTTGCTTCCCGTTGGGGAATCCGCTGACTTCACCTCTTCTTAAGCTCAAAGTCAACTCCTTAAAAAAGTCCTTTCCAACTGATGGTCTTCTGTAGCAACTCTAATTCTGACACCGGGACCCAAAGACCACAGCTGGGTGCTAGATGGTTAAAACATACTGCCAGTCAAGTACCTCGTTCCATAAAACAGTTCATGGTACATAGGCTGGGTGCAGGTGGCTCACGCCTGTCATCCTAGCTACTCAGGAGGCTGAAGATCTGAGGGTCACAGTTTTAATCCAGCCTAGTCAGGAAAGTCTGTGAGGCCTTTATCTCCACATAACCACCACAAAGCTGGAAGCGGAGCTGTGGCTCAAGTGGTAGAATGAGCACAAAGGCTCGGGGACAGCACGCAAGCCCTGGGTTCAAGCCCCAGGACGGGCACCAAAACGAACAAACAGAAGTCATAGTACAGAATCAGTAGCAGTTTTAAAGAAATGTAAAGTGGCATGTTGGTCACGCTTCTGCGGACAGTGCTTGCAGGGCCTACGAGACTCTGCTTGAAACTCCAGGGCACTGGGGATGCCGGCAATCACGCCCAGCTCACAGCTCTGACACCGATGTTCCACTAAGCACTCGCCTTGTGCAATAGCTCACTCGCAGCACACCCTGCACGCGAATCCCCAATCCAAATTTCACCTACCTCAGAGCGGAACATGCCTCCTCACCGGGTCCCACGGACGCCAGCGCTCCTCTGTGCCCGCCAGAATCCTCTGCCTGCCTGCGTGGTTCCACAGATGCCTCCTGCAAAGGGGGACACTGTGAGACACCAAGCCACGGAGCTGCCCGCCGGCCTCTGGCATCTGTCATTACGAACCCCCTCATTTGTGGGCTTGCCTTGCGCGCCGGTCCCACAGTGCCGATGGCCACATCCCTTGTCTTGCACTGCCACTCCGCCATGGGATGTGCCCGTTCCGCTCCACAAAGCGTTCCATTGAGTCCACTGACCTAAGACCCTGCATCCATTTCTAGGCAGGAAATAGAAGTCCTACGCAAAGCCTGGGAAGCACGTGACACAGCTGGCCAGACAAAATACAATAAGGCAGCTGGTCACCAGTCACTACGGTGGAAGCTTGGGCCTTTGGAGTCGTGGGGGCTGGGATGCTTCGCTCCTACTCAGCATGAATGGGGTGCTCAGTGGTCCCCAGGCACCCAGCACAAGCCAGGGCAGGTTTTCAGTACCAGGATGTCATAGGACAGAGAGCAGTTTTCTTTCCAATTGTCTTGGCTATCTTGTATTACAGTTACAATTGGGTCTTTTACAAGAAAATCTGTTGCAGCAGCCATTTTTCTCTTTGAAATACACAAATTCAGAGAGAATACACATGAAAAGCAGAGACAGGGACAGGGAAAAAGGAGACTCTAAAGTACTGATAAAAATATGTAGTTTGTAGAAACGGATAGCAATGAACTCCGAAGAGTACACTGTGAGCTGGCGGGTGCGGCTCAAGGGCGGAGTGCTTGCCCAGTGTGCATGAGGCCCTGGCTTCACCCCAACACTAAAATGGGGGGGGGGGGGGTCAATAATAAAATCTACTAAAAATTGTTTAAAGGGGGAGGTGAAAGTTTAAAAAAGCGTAAAATAGGGTAAATTTGATTTATACGTTATATGCATGTGTGGATACTACGATGAAGGCTCTGTGCAATTAAGTCAAATAAAACATGCAAAGCAGATACAAAAATGAAAAATATTTAAAACTACTTTAAAAAATGTACAATAGTTTCACTTTTGTCTCAGGGTGTACCCTTAAAAAGTAATTGTGAGCCAGGCACCAGTGGCTCACGCCTGTAACCCTAGCTACTCAAGAGACTGGGATGTGAGGATCGCAGTTTGAAGCCAGCCTGGGCGGAAAACTCCCTGTGAGACTCTTATCTCCAATGAACCACTCAAAAACCGGAAGTGGTGCTGTGGCTCAAGTGGTAGAGCGCTAGCCTTCAGCACAAAGAAGTTCAGGGACAACACCTAGCCCCTGAGTTCAAGCCCCACGACTAACAAATAATAATAATAATTGTGAGCGTAAGTTGCACATGATAGCACATGCTAGTAATCCCAACTACTCAGAAGGATTATAGTTTGGGGCCAGCCTAGCAAAAAGTTAGTGAGACCACATTTCAACTGAAGAAGCCAGGCATAGTGGGACAGTTATAATCCCAGCTAAGCAGGGTAGTCAGGTTGGTCTGAAGCCAGACACTGGCAAAGAGTGCCAAATCCTATGTGAAAAATAACTGATGAGCCAAGACTGACCAAAAACAAAGGTGATAGTATGGCTCAAGTGGTAGAATACTTGCCTAGTAAGTGTAAGGTCCTGAGTTCAAATCCCAGTAGCACCTTAAAAATTTACACACTTAAAAAAAAGATACTAAATGTTACATAGTATCAATATTTTAGAAATGGCTAGTAGCTGATGAGGAACCCACTTTTACTTCCTTAGATAAAGCTACCAGTTTCTTTGCTTCCTACCTCTACCTCCTCACCCTCCCTCCCCAAGATTTTTACTACATGTGAAGGAAGCAAACCACTGAAACAAATTAATCCTAGCTCCTCAGGAGGCTAAGATCTAAGGATTGAGGTTTGAAGCCAGCAGAGGCAGAAAAGTCTGTGAGACTCTGTATCTCCAACTGTTGAGCAAAAGAGTGTACGTGGAGGTATGGCTCAAATGGTAGAGCCCCGGGCTTGAGCAAAATAGCTTAGCAAGAGCACAAGGCCCCGAGTTCCAGCCCCAGTACTGGCACTAGCGCGTGTGCACGTGCACACACGCATGCACATGCATGCGCGTGTGCACGTGCACACACGCATGCACATGCATGCGCGTGCGCACACACACACACACACACACACACACACACACACATAAGAAGAAAGAAAAAAAGAAAAGGAAAAGAAAGAACAAACGGGAATGGGGAAGAGAGGAGGCTGAGAATGAAAGATGGGCTGGCAGGAAAATTGCCATGCCAACAGCGACAGCAACTTTCTCCTGCAGTACCTTTCACACAGGCATCGCTGGCAGACACTCATACGCCCGGATTTCAGGGGGGCCATCAGATTCTGGGTGTGTGCTCTGTGCCTGGTGAGGTGGGGGTCAGGCGAGGCTCACCTGTGAGTAGTGCTCTGTGGACGGGGACGAGCGGGACCGTTCGTGAAGGTACTGCGGCTTTTCGTGTTGGTCCAAGCCCACGTCCAGGATGTCATCTGCCGAGTGATACCGGCCTGCGCTTCTGCCTTCCAGCGGCTTCCTCTGCTCCTTCCAGGACGCCTGGTATTCCGCAAAGGTTCCGAGTCTCTGCGGTGGGTCGGACTTTCTGGCCCTTTCCGATTTTCCGTGGCCATTGAGCATCTCCCCGAAGGAGGTGGCGCGCCACCTCGTGTGCAGCCAGGGCTCGCCCCGCGCGCGCGCGCGGGCCCGGCTGTCCCGGGCCGCTCGGCCTTCTCTCTCGGGAGCCCCCCGGGCACCTGTCTCGGGCCGGGCCTCTGCGGCACCAGCTTGCTTGTCTCTTCAAAAAACTTGCACCTGTCGGCGAACGTCCCTATGGCGTCGTCCGCTGTGCCGTGACACGCGTGGGGGCCGTGGCCGCCCGAGAGGCCCACCTCGTTCATTTTCTCTGGCTCAGAGTAAGACTTCAGCTTCTGTTCCAAGGTGAACCGTTTCCGGCCTCCAATCCGGGAAAGGGGAGGCAGGACCCCGCCCGGGGCCGATGGCCTGGCAGGGCCTGCGTCCCAGAAGTGGGGGGCCCCAGAGTCTGGCTCCCCAGAATACGAGGAGGAGGCACTGGGGTCCCCAGACCTGAGTTCTGATGAGCCCGGAGCCTGGTCGGCTGGGGACGGGTCTAAATCGCGGCGCTTGAAGGACGTGGCCCGGAGGACGCGCGCTTGCGCCTCCTTCACGTGGTCTTTGTAGGTACTGCTGAAGGAAGCTTCTGGAGAGGCCCCAGCCTGGTCCCTCCACACGCCAGCTTCATCCTCGGCCTCGCCGGCCGCAGCCAGGGCCACCGTGCTCCTGCTTTTCTGCAGCTTTGCTCTGCGCATCTGGATCTCGTTCCTCAGCGTGGTGGCAAAGCGGTCGCTCCTGCGCGTGGGTTTCCCGCCCTGGGCATCGAACGGCGGCGGCGGCTTCTCGGCGGCATCGGGGCAGCTCTCGGGCTGCTGCGCCCGCTCCTGGGTCAGGGAGTGCAGCATGGGCGTCCTCTGGCGACAGATCCTGCTGCCCGGCCCATCCGCCCACTTGCCGCCGTCGCCCGTTCTCTGCACGCCGGCTTTCTCCGCCCGGCCGGCGGCCGCGGGTTCGTGGGCGCCCGCGCAACAGCCCTCGGCGCCGCCGTCTAGCGGGTGACACCGCTGCGCGTCGAGGGCATTCGGGGCCCCTTCGCGCTGAGGGAGGGGGCATCGCGCGCTGTGGGCCACGGGCTGCGTGGACGGCTCGTCGAGGCCCGCGTTCCCGTGCCAGGAATCGCCCCGCAGCGCAGCGGCCCGCGCCGCCCCTGGCACGGGCTGCCTGGCCGGAACGCAGGAGTCATGGCTCGGTCCCCCGCTCTCAGCCTTCTGGCTGGCGGCACTGGACCGCCTGGCCTGAGGGGGGCAGGGGTCCTGGCAGCAGGCGGAGGGGGGCGGCTGCTGGGGCGCCCTCTGCAAGGCGGGGGGCCTGGCGCTCTCGTCGCTGCCATGGCCGCGCGGATGGCGGCCCCCTGGGTAAGGCTGCAGGAAGCGCACATCGAGGCTGGACAGCGAGGTCTGCAGCCGGCCTGGGACCCCCAGGGGGGGGACCCCGGTCTCCATGTGACTTTCGGGTCCGCCTCCACCGCCGCCGGGGCTGCTGAGGCCTGCCGGCCTTCGCTGCCGCTCGGCTGCCTCCACCCTCCAGTCCCCGCGGGGCTGCGGCCTGGCCGACGCCATCATCAAGTGCTGGGACGCAGCCAGGTCCGCGAGCGCGAGGCTGGGCGCCGGCGCCTTCTCCGGGCCCTTGGTGGCAGCGAAGCTGTCACTGCGCAGGGGAGGGGGAGGGGGCGGCGGCGAGGACGGCGCCTTCTTCTTGTCAGGAACATGCCAGACCGGCCCGAAACTCAATCGCCCAGAGGTGAGCAGCTTGGGCTCGGCAGGGTCCTCTGGTCTGGGGCTTTTAGTGTTGTCCCGGGCCAGGGGTCTGCCCTCCATGCTGCGCAGGTCGCCTGCAACCTGAGCCTGGTGGCTACCGTCTGGCCTGGACGCTTCCCAAAGGTGGACTTTGTAGAGGATATTCTCAGCGGAGGAGGCATCAGCCTTGGGCAAGGTGTGGTCTGGGGTGCTAGAGCTGGTGGAGAAGGAGCCATATGCAGAATCGCGTTTGCTATGACCGCCCACATGGTCGATGCTGCTGCTGGATTTGGCTGCTGAGAGGCGGCCAGATGGGTAGGGCTGGGAGGGGTGGTCCAAGCTATCCATGCTTCCCAGCGAGCTGAAATGCTCAGAAGTGCGCTGGAGGCTCCTCTGCTCCCAGGAGCTGGACAGGTCGTGAGAAGAACTACAGCAATGACAAGATCACAAGCAACAAGTTTGCTTCAGCACTGAGAGAACAGCAAAGGGCAAAACTGGGGAACGAGGGCATTGTGAAGACATCCTGTAGCCACTGCCTACCACGGACTCATTGCTCACGTGTTCTATTTCTCGAATGCTTTATTATCCTTCTAACAAGACACACATGGGGATGTTACAGGCCACTAGCACATCACAGGGTTCCAGAGTGACTGCAGAGGCAGATGCAGATGCAGCTGCAGAAGAATCCCCTGGGGAACTTTGGTGAACTACTCGGCTGCTCCCCAACTATCTCCTGCCTGCCAATGCACAGGAAATCCCTCCAGAGAAGACGGTGGTGGTACGCCTGTGGGTGCCAGAGAGCCTGGCTGGGAACCACCAACTGCCCCGTGTCCCTGTGCACAGTCCCACAGGGATTCCAGTGAGGCTCTTTCCCTGTCTCTCGCACACACAACACACAGGCGAAAACACCGTGTGCGACTGCCTCACCATTTCACTGTTGCATTTTTCTTTTTTTTTCAATGCTGGTCCTGGGGCTTGAACTTGAGTGCGCTTGCTGATCTTTTCTTTTTTTTTTTTTTTTTTTAATTTTTTCCGCTCAAGGCTAGTGTTCTACCACTTGAGCTATAGCTCCACTTCTGGGTTTTGAGTAAGTTATTGGACATAACAGGCTCCCGGACTTTCCTGCCCGGGCTGGCTTTGAAGCGCCATCCTCAGACCTCAGCCTCCTGAGTAGCTAGGATTGTAGGCACTGGGCTCATTGTTTTATTTTAATGGAGTGTTCACGGCTTTGTCTCATCAGAAGCATTAAAGCCAATCTCGAGTCCATAGAGCACTGGAATTGGTGAGCATTTACAAAAACATCACTCGGGCTTTGCTTGGTCTCAAGAAACAAGCAGGTACCTTGCATGGTGCTGGACATGCCAGGAAGGGGAGCCACTGGCACAGGGGAAGTGCGAAGCCACAGGTTCAGGATGGCCATCGGAGAACTTGGTGGCGTGCCAGGAGTGAGGCCTCCAGCTCGACTCATTCCTCCTGGAAAAGAACGTGAATGCTGAGGACCTGGACGCTGGAGCCCTTCATGCCAAATGGCAAGGCAAGAATGGACAACGATTTCACTGCTGGCCTGGGATCAGCAGGTGCTTCCCACTGGTTGAAATCTCTATTTTTTCCTTCTTCTTTTTTTGGTCCGAGACTAGGACTCAAACTCGGTACTGGATGCTTTCCCTCACTGGCTAGTGCTTTACCAGCGGAGCCCTCGATCTCTATTAATGGCCAACTTTCCCAATGCACATTGAAAACCACAGGCTCCAAAACATAAAACAGTCCTTATTCTTTACAAGTCATCCGTCCATCAGATGTGACTATTGTTCGTCAATTAGAAATTAGACGAAGGTAAAAATAGATCAAGTGTATTTTCTACATATATAAACCTGCCCCCTAACCCCCAGCGCCAACAAAACCAGGTCCTCCTATCTTTTGAGTTTCAACATAACTTTCACAGGATCATAAACCTCTATGGACAAGGGATCGGTCTGAGAAAAAAGGTCCCCATGTTCCCTGTCCTTGGGGATTCCCTGTCCTTGGGGACTCACAGAATTTAGACTGCTTACCTCTCTTCCATAAACACAGTTGCAGTGTAGTTAACTACGACTTGTAGATGTATCTTCCTTTAAGCATCCTAACTATTGTGAGGTCAATCCAAGGTCCCCAACCTGTGATCAGGACACCCCACATTGGCAGGCTTGAGTCTATCCAAGCCAGGGCTTTTTTTTTAGAGTGGCTTGAACCTTCACCAACTCCCAGACCACACCTGTGCAGGTATGATAAGGTGTGTCCAGGGAAATCCCTACAGATGCTAGGTAGAGGATGAAGCCTATAGAAGAACGCTACCAGGCACAGAAACCCTCTAAGCTCCCTGACTGTGAGCAGTTAATGCACAGTGTTTCCACTTCTCTAAATTAAGAGAGAAATGACCTCATCCTGGACAGTTTGGAGACTGATCAGGAATGAAGAAAGAAACTAGGTGCTGTCAGCTCACACCTGTAATCCCAGCTACTCAGGAGCCTGAGATCTGGGGATCATAATTCAAAGCCAGCCCAGGCAGGAAAATCTGTGAGACTCTTAGCTCCCATTAACCATCAAAAAGAAGCTGGAAGAGGAACTGTGGCACAAGTGGTAGAGCACCAGCTTTGAGCAAAAAAGCTAAGGAACAGCACCCAGGGCCTGAGTTCAAGCCCCAGTACCAACATGACACATGTGCATGTGCACACGCACACACGCGTGCGTGCACACACACACACACATACTCTCTCTCTCTCTCTCTCTCTCTCTCTCTCTCTCGTTCATACAACAAACCTTCCAATGAGCCTGATGATTTTAATGAGGAAAAGTATAAGGGGAACAAAATGTAGACTGTGTTGGGTTTATGAGTTCCCCATAAACTAAAGATCAAGTGAAAAATGGACAGATGTATTATACCACCCAAGTAAGTGATTATAAAACCAAGACTATACCTAATAGAATTTCTCAAAATCCTTGTTAAGGAAGGTTCTGGCCACATTAATTTCATCTTCAGTTGCCTTTTTCTGTGTTGTAAGGTCTGTAACTTCTTTATGATTAATTAATAAAGGAAATGAACTAGACTGACCGAAACCATAAAGCCAATGGATGGAAAAGAAAGCTGAGAAAGGGAACTGCTCCACACGTGTGGCAGCCATCTTTGTGTCCACCCTCACTCCCACGCCCCACTCCTCTAGAAACACTGGACTGCTCTAGCTGAGATGGGTAGTGGGCAAAAGTAAAGTTCTTCCCGAAGCACATGTGAACGTGTAGGATCCAAAAGTTCTGTGTGCTACTGCACATGGTGGGGCATGCTTATAGTGTCAGCATTGAAGATGTAGAGCAGGAGGGTCACAGGCAGGTCATGATGGGCTACATATGAGAAAAATAAAGACAATAATAAAATGACTTTATAAAAATGTGTGGCAACAAAAATCGCTGTAAAATCTCTGCGACCTTTTCATCCAAGTGAATTTGTATTACACCCCCACCTTTAGTGTGGACTGGCCCAAGAGACTTACTTATCTACATCCCGGTGCATTTGCATCCACCCCCTTCCAATCACTCAAAATGGGCTGGCCCAAGAGACTTGCTTAATTCCATCCAGGTGAATCCCCCCACACCCTAACCCTTCAATATAGATTATCCCAACATATTAGTTTAACTGAGATCAGTTGGATTTACACCCATCCCTTTAATGTGAACTGGCCTAAGTATCAGAACAGGAGCAAGTAACATTCTAGGATATTGGCGTTAAAAGATCTGCTTAACTCCCTGACAAGGGTTAGCATCAGCTCTCCACCAATCTTCAATGTGGGCTAGTCCTAGAGACTTAATTCTATCTAGGTATATTCCCCCCCCTCCAAGCCTTCAATATGGGTTAGCCCAAGAGACAAGCTTAACTCCATCTAGGTAATTAGTGCCCCTCCCTCCCCATATATGGGGACTAGCCTAAGAGAGTTGCTTAACTCCACCCAAGTGGATTTGCATATTCCCCCTCCAACCATTCAACATGGAGGTAGCCCAAGGAGCTCGGCTCCCTTTACTCCAGTCAAGTAACTTCCACTGACCATCCCTTCAGCGTGGGATGGCTCAAGAGAGGCGCTTAACTCCATTCAGATGGATTTCTGTCACCACCCTCATCTCTGCCACGTGGGCTGACACCAGAGATTGCTTAACTCCATCCATGGCTCTTGCTCTTCTTCAAGGTGGGCTAGTCCAACAGGCTTGCCTAACTTTATCCAGGAGCTCCCACGCTCCTCCTTCCCTGGGCTGGTCCACTGTGTAACTCAGTCCAGCAGGACCTGCGCTCAGCCGTTCCACGTGGGCTGACCCAGGAAACTTGCATAAGTACCAGAACAGGAACCATCGCCATTCTGGAGTCCGGGAGTTACGAGACTTGCTTAATTCCCTTCCAAAGGATTTGACTTCTCCCCCACTCCATTCTTCAATTGGTCTCGCCCTAGAGAATGAATTCCAACCAGGTGTATTCCCCCCCCCCCATCTCTTCAACATGAACTGGCCCAAGAGGCAAGCTTAACTCCATCTAGGTAAATTATCTCTCCCTCTAATATACGGGCTGGCCCAAGAGCCGAGTGGAACACCAGCCAAGTGGATTTGCATATCCCCCTTCCAACCATTCACAGGGGAGGGCCCAAGGGGGAACTGCTTAACTCCATTCAAGTAACTTCCACTGCTCATCCCTTCAACTGGGATGGTTCCAGAGGTGCTAACTCCACTCAGGTGGGCTTTCCATCGCCACCCTCATCTCGGCAATGTGGGATGACCCAAGAGATTGCTTAACTCCACCGCAGGGTATTTGCATCTCACTCCTCTTTGATGGGCTGGTCCGAGAGGCTTAACTCCATCCAGGCGCTCCCACACTCCCCATTCTTTCAAATGGACTGGCCCACTGTCTGTGTAACTCCGAGCAGATGGACCTGCACCCAGCCCTTTACTAACATTCTAGGACACTGGAGCTAAGAGACTAATTCCCTCCCACAGGATTTGCATTCCCCTCCTACCACTCTTCAGTGTGGCCTAGTCCTAGAGACTTAACTCCATCCAGGTGTAGCTTCCTCCCCCTCCCTTCAATATGGGCCGGCCCAACGTGCTTAACTCTATTTGGGCAGATTAGCTCCCACTTTAATATATGTAGGTTGGCCCAAGAGACCTGTGTAATTCCACGCAGGTGTATCCCCCTCCCCCATTCCTTTAATAGGGGCTGGCCCAAGAGACAAGTTTAAAACTGCATCTTATTAGCTCCCCCTCCCCTTTCCTATATATGGACTGGCCCAAGAGACTTAATTAACTTTATCCATGTGGATTTACTCCCTCATAACTCTGCAAAGTGGGCTGGGATTTACTCCCTTATAGCCGCAATGTGGGCTGACCCCAGACTTGCTTAATTCCATTCCTGGGAATTGTTCCTCAAGCTTTTCAGTGTGGCCTAGCTCTAGAGACAGACTTCAGTCCATCCAGGTGTACCCCTCATCCTTTCCATATGGGCTGGCCCAATAGACAAGCTTAACTGTATTTAGATGGATTAACTCCCTCCCCCTTTAATATATGTGGGCTGGCCCAAGAGATTTCCTTATCTCTATCTAGATGGATTTACATACCCCCCCTCCAACCACTCAACATGGGTTAGCCCAAGGGGGCTTGCTTAATTCTCTCCAACTTCCACTGGCCTCCTTTCAATTTGGGATGGCTCAAGAGATGTGCTTAATTCCATCCAGATGGTTTTACACACACTTACACACACACACACACACACACACACACACACACACACACACACACACACAACTCTGCAATGTGGGCTGCTTAAATCCATCCATGGAATTTGCATCCCCCTCCTCTTCATTGTGGGCTGGCCCAAGAGATTTACTTAACTCCATCCAGGAGGATTAGCCCCTCCCCACCCCCAAATGTGGGTTTGGCCAGCAGACATTCTTAATTTGATCGAGATGGATTTCTCTTCACCCCACTCTCTTGGGCCAATTCATATCGGGTAGTCCATCAAACATGCTTAAATCCATCCAGGTGGATTTGTACTCTTTTGTTGTTGCTGTCGGTCGTGGGGTTTGAATTTTGGGCCTGGGCGCTGTCCCTCGGCAGTTCAGCTGAAGGTTAGCGCTCTAAACTTGAGCCACAGCACCACTTCCAGTTTTTCTGTTTATGTGGTGCTGAGGAATTGGACCTAGGGCCTCATGCATGGGAGGCAAGCGCTCTACCACGAAGCCACCTTCCCGGCCTGTGGATTTGTACTCTTACTCATACCCCTTCAACATGGGCTGGACCAAGAGACTTAAGTCCATCCAGGTAGTTCCTCCCCTTCAAGATGGGCTGGCCCAAGGGACAGTGCAGGTGGATCTGAGCAACCCCTTCAACGTGGACTGGCCCAAGAAATTTGTATAAGTACCAGGATAGGAGCAACTGACATTCTACTTAAGACACTTGAGTCTCCCTCT